AAAATAACCAATCTAATATTAAATAAATAATTGAACTTTATTGATCTCACATTGGAGAAATTTACCTCTGCATTCAACCTATTCCCTTGGGGAGCAGTGGGCTGCCGTCGTGTGGCACCCGGGGAGCAGTGTGGGGTTAAGGGTCAAAATAAAAATAAAAACGGCTGACTGTGTCATTGTATCATAAAGACAGACACCATATAAAAGTTTATAATTTATGAATAAGCATCACAAACATCATTGATGAATTCATTCAGTGCTCCAGACACCAAAGCCATAGTGTCAGAATCAAACTGCATGTTTTACATTTATTGTCCACTTGATGGCACAATAGAGCAAATTAAGCTTCTTGAGGCTTTGACACATGAACAAAGCAATTGGATAGAAGGCTTCAGTGCTTTCTGAAGCTTCATCTCCAGTCAGAACCAATCAGATACCTACAGCTGTGACGCAAGTTTTTTTTTTTTTTTTTAAAGTAAAGCTCTCTCAGAAGCCTGTTTGAAAGATATACTCTCATTCAGGATATAATAAAATGCATGATTAAAAAAAATATCTGCTGCAATGGGCTGTTAAGGCTACAGGAAAGCACTGTTGCATTATGGGTGATAATGGAATAGTGCTTATAATGAAGCTAACTCCTGCATGATGTGATTGGTCTTGTTACTTTTTACTATATAAATGTTGTTTATCAAATACAGATCAGTGTGGCTTTATACAACATGAAACAAAACATGGGAGGTATGATCAAGGACTAGGATGTTTCACTCTGAAACGATTGATCAGTAAAGTGAACTTACTGTAGCCCATGCCTTGGATGAAATATTTGAAAGCCTCAGTGAGTTTAGCGGGCTGCAGAGATGAAAAAAAAAAACATCAGAAAAACTGTAAAATATAAAAACAACAGTTATGTTAAAAAATAAAGTTATTCAGAGGAGATTTATTAACAAAGTAAAATCAGCTATTTCACAAAAAAATAAAATAAATTCACTTCTGCTGCAGAAATCAGATAAAAGGATAAAACCAGAAATAAGGGGCAAATCCTGTAAATGTTTTGGTCTCAGCTGGATTGTTTATGTCTCAGCTGGATTTAAAGTAGAGCAGGGAGAGATCAGATCAAGCTTTTAAACCTGAGTGTAATAGAAGTGAAAAGATCCTAGGAATTATAAAACACAGCAGGACATCTATTTATGGAGGTTATACTACTGTGTAGATCTACTGCAGATGAAGCATCGTATTTCAGCGTTCTTTGGCTGAGCTCCCAGTATTAACCCAAACTTTGTCAATTTAAATGAGTTGTTTCTTGTTTACCTATTTAACTTATTCATTTTTTTGTTGTGATTTTTCTGTGATTTTCAAGATGGAAGTGAACATTTGTTAGATTTTGGTTCTAGTTCTCATGTACTTAAACATGTGATCCACATGGTAAGGGACATGAGAACCAGAGATGGAAAAAAAAACCCTTTTAACTCTTTCTGTCTCTCTAGCTGCTGTCTATAGAATACATTTAGCCTAGATGACAGGGAATAAAACAACCATCCCAGAATGCACTGCAGTCTGACATCTGTGCTCAATCCATATTATTGGTCGGATTTTAGAATAATTTGATAGAAAACTAGAAGCTCTAAATCAGTAAAAGACACTTAGGTAGGAAAAATACCAATATATTGTTATGTTAAATCATAGACGTTCACAAACTAAATTAATTCCAGGTTCTAAATCTAAAGGATAAAATAATCATATCAAACCCATATTTTTGTGGTAAATATGTTCAAATATTTTTCTAACTTAACAGTAAATGCTACAAAATCCCAGTTATTCAGGTGTATGTAACTGATATAAGGTCATTAAAGTATGGCAGAGCTGCTAAAAGGATTGTTTTACCTTTTCTTGTGGAATAAATATTTTTACTAAAAAGGATCAAATGAAATGGTTAGAGGAGGGGGGGATTATTTAGCACAAAATCAGGGATGTTTTTTTTCTGAACTGTTACAATGACAGGCAGGCAATTCTAGACGGTAATCTAAAAAAGTTCATCCATGATGTGTTTTAATGTTCTTGTTTTTCCTATATCTCTTCTGGTAGCTATGGAGCTTTATAATTTTTATTTATTTTTTTTTTTTGGACAAACATGCTGCTGTAGCAGTTGTATGAATGGGGTGGCCCAGATGACAAAAAAAAAATCACATTCTACTCGAGTTGAGGGGGGATTAGGAGGGATGGCATCCCCCCTTCTTAAAAAAAAAATCTTTAAAATCATCCCCCTTCTTAATTGACCATCCCCCCAAACCATCCTCTGTGACATTTTATTACTGAATGTGTAAATTTCTATTATATATTGACAGTAGTGGTAATAATATTGCCCTTTTAAACATTTGGCAGGCTGTGCGTTTACGAGTAGTCTGATCAAACTACGGTCGCCCAGAGGTCACACAAGAAGTTATTTTTGACATCATTGGCGCAAACAGCGGAGCAGGTGATGGTGTTCTAAACAGCATCACGGCCAAGCGGCAAAGACAACGCGATTTAAGGGAGTTCGTTTTAAAGAAGGTAAAAACTAACGCTTCAGGTAAGTCAAGAGTCAGAAGACATTATCTTTTCTAAGCTCACCATTGTGTCACAAAATATTTATAAGTCCTAATGTCTGGACATAGTGATAGCATGCAAACCTAGATAAACTAGTTTGAAGCGCAAACAGTTTTCTGTTTGCGTTAGCAGAATTTAACTAGAACCATTTTAACTATGTTAAATTCTGCTAACTAGGGCTGTTCGGGTGAGGTGGGGGGGTATACAGAGGTCGATGGATTTCACTCAGTCTGCATTTTTTTACATCTTTGCAAAGAGAGAACAAGACATCATACAGCCCTTATTGCACGGTAATCAGCCCTGTTCTGATCTAGCTAGAGTTTGTCTTCCTTACTTACAATGATGGAAATGCTGAAGGTTGTGTCCGTGTCAAACACATCTCTACAAAAAACAAATAGAAGAAGAAAGACTCTAAATGTTTTGAGAACTTTCTAATATTATGGCCAAAACTCAAAATAGGATAAACAGCCCCTCTCTCTTAGACTTGTTGTGGCCTTGGAGCTCTGAGTCCGAATGAATAAAACTCAGCACTCATAAATCTGTATACATATACCTACATGAATATATGTAAGAGGGAATTAATAGGAGATAAAATTTTTCCAACCACAAGGCAAAGGTAAAATATACTCTCTTTATTTTTATACAATTGTGCTTCTGGCACTACAGGATTCAGAGCCTCGTCATGAACTTCACAGGACGTCACTGCCATCAAATGAGGAGAGTGTGGTCTTTCAAAGATTTCAGGAAACTGTAAAAACTTTGAACCACACTATGGTGGCATCTGTAATGATTTATGCAGAGGACTTAATTATTTATTTGTTTATTTGTCAGATACAGTACACATTAATGAACATTTCTAAAAATGTGTCACTATTAGCTATGAAGCTAGTTTTCAACTGCTGTCCCTGGGCAAGGTGTATAATGCCAACAATAATTATAACAAAAAATATAAAAGATAGAAAAAAGAAATAATAAGTAGGCTAAATACTTCCAAAGGCAGATCTTATGGTTCAAACAGAGACATTGGCAAAAATATGTACAGATGTTTTGTTGAAGGAGTGGCAACATCAAGGGGAACTTATTTTACTTTTTTTTTTTTAAATCATAACTAAGCTCCTTATTTCTTACAGCCATTTAAATCACATTCTAACAAAAATTGCAGCAGAATCCTTTAAAACTGATGAAAACTTTTGTTTTATAAAATACAAATAAACCAAATTTGTAAAAAAGAAAAAAAAAACAACATGGAAAAACTAAATAAGTCTTTAAAGCCACATGAACACACTTATCTCTTTATCAAAGTTGAAAATCTAAAATACATAACAGATTATGAATTAGCCAAAATCTGAAGCATCCAACCTCTAATGCAGCAAAGATATTATTACATTACATGATTTTTCTTTCTCCTTATGTACTGCTTTATCCAGCTATATATATAAGAAATAATAGAACTCAATTACTGTGACGATAATACAAGAAAAAAATAAGTTTATAATGAAACATCTCACACCTTGTCAAAGCAAGCTTTTCAAAAAGCAAGAAATTATTAAAACACATAGAAAACATTGAACAAAATCTTTTGCTCACTTTAAAATGAAAAAAATGATAACCTGTGTGAAAAAATAGCTAAACTTTTTGCTTGCAATACAATTGATGTAGCTGCAATGATGTTGAAGCATTTCAGTATTTACAAAAGAAATAACCCTAAATTTCCTATTTTATTTATTTTTAGGAATGCAAGTTCAATGCAACCAGGCTTTCTTGTTTTGTGGCAGAATCAATCAGTAAAACTCCAGTCAGACTTCTTGGTTAAAACAACAGTTGTTCAGATATTTTCCCTGTTCAGGCTCTGGACACAGTCCCAAAGAAAGGTGGGGGTAAACCGATTTGATAACCGCTAAGAAACAACATTAGACACACAATGTTTAAGTTTCATGTAAACATGAAAGCTAAGCATGGGGAAATACATTTCTTGAGAATAGAAACTAAGTTTCTACAACTACCAACATGTTTTTTTTCATTTCCTCCTAAATTTATTCATGATGGATGTTTGTTTTTGAATGTGAAACTAAATCTGAATCAACAACTGAAAACAGTGAAATAAAGTCTTTGATGCTTAATGACAAAAGCTGCTGGAGAGAAGGAAAACTCTCAGATGACTGGACTTCATCCTGGTGCCGCTGATACTACTGTCATGGTAGGTTCTGAGGAGCCAAAGGATCTGAACCCAGATCAAAGATGTTTAGGTCTAGACAGGACCTGATTGAACAACAGAACCAAACAAAGGTTTTTAAAGGAAAAATGTAGAAACAGCTCCTGAATCAGTGTCAAACAGCAAAATCATCTCTTCTACAAACTATTGATCCTGATTACTTCCAGATTTAGTGAACTCACCCCTCTAGAAAAAATGTTCCAGGTTAGTCTGACCCTGCAGTCACATCCTGTTGTTCTTGACCTGAAATTATAATTTTGTCATTGAGTTCATTGTTTATCACAGTTACTGTATAATTCCATGCTTCCAGCAGCTATTTGATTATTAACATTTATACTGAACCATTTCCAGAGTTTCCAGACCCTCTGATTGTTTCATAGAGACCAAGATCTCCTACAGGAAAGTGGAAATCACACAGTTAAACTAATCTGCCTTAATGTCAGTGATACTGATGTAAACAGAACATTAGAACCATCTCTTTACATCTATTTCACACATGTTACCTCAATCCTGCTATTATTGTTTGAATTATTAGATGCCTCAGTCAGAACAAGAGACAGAAAATCTCTAAAGCAATAAAATATCATTCTTCTTTAGGGAAGCTGCTGAGTTATATTTGAATCTAGTTGGATACATCTGTAATTAGCTTGATGGTTATTACTGCTTCCTAACATTTATTTTGGGTGATTTAACAGTGAAACAGAAAAAAATAGGATCAGAACTAAATAAATAGGAGCTTCAACAATACTTTATAATAGTTTGAATGGGTTAAAAGTTAGAAATATTCTTATCTATGTTGGTCTGTGGCTAATTAAGCTAAATAAGACTAGACTGAAATAAATTCACAGCAATATTATAGCATTCACATTGAGATTTACTCTTCTATAAATGCAGTCTTCAATAAGAAAATAAAATCATTTGATCATAGAAGTTTGAATGAATGCATTCTGATTTTTTTCTTAACTGTTAATTTCCCAAGTCAACACAAAGGTCATTAGTAGTGTTAAAGATAAAATGATAAAAATATAATGGGAATATAATCTATATTCCATATTTGTGGAACCATTCAGAGAAAAGTGACAGACTGACCATGGAGGAGAGAGGAGTACACTTGCTGCTGATGGTCATCCTGGATGACAGTCTGTGCTGTTCTGATACCTTTTACAGAAAAAAAAAAAACATTATTTTAATTTTCTTCCAAATAAAGAAAGTAACTCAGGTATAACCCTACAGCAGTGGTGGACGAAGTACTCCACAGTAGTACTTTTAGTCACAGTAATACTTAGTAGTACCAAGTATTCAAAGATCCAAATGAAAATTTCTAACTTTACATTTCTGTGTTATTTTCAGAATCATTTCTTAAGAACTTTTAACTTTCAGAAACTACCTGATGTATTGATGCCTAGAACCACTCTGCTACAAATTCTACACCACCTGTAAAGAACTTCAGCATAAAAAGAACACAAAATTTAAGAACATCTATTATGATCATTATTTCTTATTTACAAAAAAAACTCAATCCTCACAATTTTACTATGGAAAGGAGGGTTATGGTTGATTCTATTACCACCAAGAAACAGAAACTCTGATTTGAGAACTCGTCCTACTGAAGAACTTGGCCACATGGCAACAACTAACGCCATAAAAACGTTATAAACTACAAGTAATATCAGCCCTGAGTTTCTCACATTTATGGAATTTCATGCTAATCTAAATCATTGGTGTCCATATTCAGTCTTAAGGGCTGCTCGCTTTCATGTTCAAATTGCATTTCAAGAAAGAAAAACGGGAACAACGGATTACAAAGCTAAGCTGAGCCAAAAGGAACAAGTAACTAACAGCTTCCTAGAAATGGACTGAAGTAGAAAGTATAATATTTGCCTTTGAAATGTAGTGGAGGGAAAGTTATAAACTCACCCTAAAAATTATTCAAGTAAAGATACTCAAAAAAAAGTACTTAAGTACAGTAATCAAGTAAATTTACTTTGTTACTTTCTAAAACGGCCCTACAGTGCTGTGATGTATCTGATAACTTAGACCAGATGCAGCATTCAGTCAATAACTGATATCCAACAAATCATTCAAATAAAACTTTAATCTTATTTCTATGTGGTTTGACTGCTGTATTCTTTAAACTTCCTTAACACAAAATTCAGGTCATTCAGCTGAGAGGATGGAGAGAATAAGGAGAGAAAGAATCTCCATAGAGGTGTGAAGGCAACAGGTTGGTCTGATATTTGGTGGAAGTGAAGGAACAGCCACATAATACCAAGTGATTGATTTTTGAATATCATTTATATTAAAAAACTTGTATTATAAAAAAAATATAATTGAAGCAGGCAGACATGAGGTGGTTGATGGTATCTGCTATAGAGGAGAGCAGTGAGGACATCAGGAAGGAAGAATGAAACTAGTGAGGCCACAGAAAGATTTAGTTCCTCCTCAGTGTTCTGAGGAAGAAAAGACACTGCTGGGCCTTTTTAATAACCTGGGGGGTGTTCACAGTCCAGCTCAGGGCCTCTGAGATGTTCAATGAGATCTATAGGTGGCAATAATGGCCCTAAATGTTGTTTTCCAGTTTGAAGAAGATACTCAGCTTGATTACTGCAGCACTTCAAGTCTAGAATCAACTGAATGTAAAACATGTTGCTGCAAACATGGAGACCAAAGCTAACTGTAGCTACAACAGACCTGCTTCAGGTTCAGAGCCACAGTTAGTAACTCTACATCTGAGCTCACTGCTTCCTTTCACCTAAATACTTATTTGTAGAGTTAGTTTTAAAACTAAAATGTAATTTAATAGAAATACTTTTTCTTTTCAAGCTAATTATAAATGTTCTAAAGACTCAGATTATCATTATTCAGTCACTTCCATCCACTAAGTTTAGGTGTTGCTGTTTCAGTTTAGTCCACATGGGGGAGTGCTCTGTTTGGAGAATGAAAGAGTGAAACATTAGATATTACAATATTAGAGTCTGACCTTTGGAGCGTCTGAACCGACACACCAGCAGAGGCAGAATTATCAGAACGATTCCAATCACTGGTCTAATGACCCACATCACATGAAATGAAGAACTTCCAGCTGCTGAAAATAAGGAGAAAATAACTCCAAACAATATCAATATTATTATGAATCCAATCATTGATTCTTTCAGCTCTGCTCACCTTTTACTGCCATCCAGCTCTGTGGTGAAGCTTTTCCTGAATGTTCACACTTGTAGAAGCCTTCGTCTGACTGAGACACTGCAGAGATCTTCAGCTCCCCTCTGCTGTCATTTTGGACCAGTTTGTCATTGTGATAGAAAAACACATTGGAAAGTGTATTTTGTCCTCTGAGTCTGCAGCTCAGAGTAACAGAAGCTCCCTCAGTCACAGGATGGACGGGGCTCACCAGGAGAACATCTCCATCTGGAAAACAGTCAGAATGTATGGAGGACCAACTCTGCCATATTTTTAAAAATAAATACTTGATCATTTATTTATTTATGTATTTATTTTTAAATATGGCAGAGTTGGTCCTCCTTAGTTCTATTCCTTGGCTTCGGTTTAATGCAGAGGTCACTGATTAGCGGACCGAGAACAGGTGTTATGCTGAAAAGTGCATCCCTGTCAAGATATGCATCCCCAGTCGAGGGAGCGCGCCTTGCTCTGTACAACTGTGACTATGGACGAGGAAAACAGATTAAAATATGACCAATGGAGCAACTTGTTGTTATATTAATGATATAAAAAAGTTTAAATATTTGTCTCCTGGGAAAAAAAAATTGTGGTTATTTAGCAGATTCATTTACAAAAGTACGGGTGTTATGAACAACATTAAAACCAAAGATTTTGTCCGAGGTACACAGCACAGCGTTCACAGACCAGTATGATGCATTCACGAGCATCAGATAGCTACGGTGCATTCAGGAGCATGGGACATTTCATACTTTCAAGGAAAGAGACATAAATGGAACAGAACTTAACTCATACAATAATGTATTTATTCAGAAACAGTGTGGGCTTTCTTATGATACTGAATGCTCTATAATTGTATCTGTTATTTTTTGATTATGTACATCTGCTAGCTTTTTATTCTAAAAATCTATATTACAGCAGCAAATGATCAGTTTTTCAACAGCCTGTTTAAAAGGTCCGAATGAGGCTTCAGATCATGCAGCAACAATATTGCTGTCATTGTTTTACAGGCAGAATTTGAATTTGCTGACCCTTGTCCTTTAACTACTGATGGATATACAGGAATACAGTCATATAAGTGTCAACTCCTCTGAGATAGCACGGGATGCAATTTTTGGCAATTTCTTTTTAAGTTTTTTTTTTTTAAATGTATAACATGAATGCATAAATAACTCATTATATTTCAGTGTTAAATTCTGTTTAAAGTAACAGATCATTAAAAATGTCTCCGGACCTTTACTGGTTGATGATTTTCTTTATTTGGACCCCGCTGATTTTTAATTGCTTTCACCTGGTTTAATGCTTATTAATATTTATTTTAGATCATGTGTGCCATCCATTGTAGATCATTGGCACCATCCACATGTTGGGATCCAGAGGCTTGCCCACCAGAGGGTGCCGATGATCCCTTCCTGGTGGTTTGTACTTCTGTTGGGATCTGGGGTGCTGTCTACCTTCCTCCACCAGAGGGCGTATTGGATCTCCTGAAGCTGGAGCTGACTTCACCAGCTGCTCCTCATCTGCTCATCAGGAGACCAGTACTTAAGTGGGCTGTGGACGACACTCCAGTGCCAGAGTGTTTTGCCAGCTATGGTTAGCAAGCCTGAGCCAACCTGCCTGCCTGAATCTATACTCCCTGATAACCTGAACCTAACCTGTTTTTGTCCTCTCTGCTTCCAGGAAGAACCTGTCTGAAACCTGAAACTCTGGAAGAGTTTCTCTGTCTGAAACCAGTCTGTCTGATTACTGAAGAACCCTGGAGGTCAGAAACTCTGGAGGAGTTTCTCTGTCTGAAACCAGTCTGTCTGATCACAGAAGAACCCTGGAGAATCAAACCTGTCAGATATTTGCATGCCCGCCCTCAGAAGAAACTGAAAGAGAAGCTCAGAACCGAATCAGCAAAGTCACAAACCAAGTTCAGCCTCCACCTAGCCCTCAGCCTGCCATCAGCCTCTGGACCCTCCTGGTTTCCCCCTCTGCCGCTCTGCTCAAACCTCTGAACAGGTACAAACCTGCACTCACTCAACCAGCAAAATTACCTGGGCTTCTGCTAACCATTCTGTCCCCCTCTGCAGTGAAAATCAGTCGTGACCAGTCCTGGACCAGATAATCCCCAGAACCAGTTCTGTATTCAAACTTGTGTGTTTAAATAAACCTTTGAACTTTTTCCCCTGTCTCAGAGTGTGTTCTGTATTTGGGCTTGTAACACAACCCAAACAAGACACCACATCCAGTGAAAACTAGTGTAATTGGATGAGTCATATAATGCAAACACTCATTGGTTTGCTAAAGGAAATCATCAGAAGCAAGCAGGTGTTCTTTAAACTGTAAACATGAATTGTCTATGCCATGCTACAATGTTGGATTCAGAAAAAGATGTTGAAATGTCTGAAATGTCGGACACAAGCGAGAGCGTATCGGGAGATGGAGACCAACAAGACCTCCCTCATCCTTGGCCCTATCTCAAAGAATTTTTAGAAATAGTTGAAAAATTGAGCTTCAATTCATATAGTGGCGTCTGGCTGTTTTTTTTAAAGGTTACTTTATACTTTTATACTTTAAGTAGTTTTTGGAGCACATACTTTTTCACTTTTACTTGAGTAAAGAGGTCAAGTTGATACTTCAACTTTTACCAGAGTGTTTTTAAACTGCAGTATCTATACTTCTACTTAAGTAACAAATGTCTTCACTTTTGACACCACTGCATGTTAAAAAGATAAGATAAGAAAATACAGATTTATTTAATCATGATTCCAGAATGTTTTCTTTATGAAAAAAAATCTATTTTTATTTCAAAGTTTGGATGTAAATAGATATGTGACCTTTGACCCTATGACAACATCTAAACTCATTTAGCTTTAACATTTTTAGAAACTGACCTGTCCAGGGTGGACCCCGCCTCTCGCCCCTTGACAGCTGGAGATAAGCACCAGCTCCCCTCGTGACCCCACTTGGGATTAAGCGTGTTAGAAGATGGATGGATGGATAGATTTTTAGAAACTTGAATTTTTAAAAGGCTCATTTTAAATTAAATCTCCACATTAAGAAGATAAAAATCTCTGTTTCTACTTAGATAATAATTAATATCTCAGACTCTTCTAGAAGAGAGATTTAATTTATTGTTTCTGAATCACAGAGCAGTGAATTTCATGTAGTAATCAAGCTGCTAAAATAAATGAAAGAAACAAACATAATAACATACCGACTGCAGTGATGTTGACTGAGCTGCTGAACTCTCCTGATCCAGACTCACACCAGAGCACTTCTGTCTGGAAACTAGATTCATATGGTTTTTCTAGTTCAAAGCTACAGGATCCATTCATTGTCTCCCAGTCCAGGCAGGCATGAATGAACCACCGGCGACCATCATTGTCAGCCCTCCACACTCTGGAATGAGTAAAGGTTCCTCTACAGTTCACTGTTACAGACTCATTGGTGAAGTGTTGCTCTCTGTCAGGACTCACTGAGACAGACACAGCTGGATGAGCATCTGGAAACCCACATGGAAAAAACAATCAACATGAACAAGAGAAGAAAAAATCTCATTAATTCAAATTCTTTTTTCAGATTACAACATTTTATAATGTTTTGCAATAAATTTCTTCTCATAAAGAAGATAAGATTATTATTTTTGATTTTGTTTCCACACTACTAATCTCATCAGTGTTTTCCTTCACAGTCAGACTTTCCCACTAACCTAAAGAGTCTTTATCCGCATATTTAAAGTTGATCATGAAACTAATAATACTGCAAGTATTAATAGTGAATTCATTTTACAGCGTTCACAGTGGTTAGCCCATCATCCTCTCCTTTATTTCTTCCCTTTCCAAACACTTTATTTATTTATTTCTTATTCTGAGATAAACTCAAACCAATGGATGAAGTTCTGGTTGATAAACCTGATTTTCACTTAGAGATTCAAGGATTCATCAAGTTTGTTTAAATAATTTACTTGTCAACCTGATTTGATCCAATCTGTGAAGTAAACACTTTAAACATGAAATCAGTGGGACGTGAGGTTGGTAAATATCCTGAAATGAAGGTGATCCCTAAACACATGATCATTGGTAGAAAAAAACTCTGACCTGCAGACCAGACAAACTTTGGTTTACTGTAATCAGTAAAATTCTCTTGGTTTCCTCTTCCAGCTCTACATGCATATCCTGCTGTGTGTCTCTGTCCATGAATGATGAAGGAGTCCTCTACAGTCCCATTGATGCTGTCAGCCAGCAGCTCATATCTGTAGTCCTTCTGTGATCGATCAGGAACAGCTTTATACCAGTAGAACCTCCATCCTGTAGATGGAGGATTAACCTTACAGCTCAGATTAACTGAGGCTCCAGGACTCAGCCATGATGGAGACACAGTCAGGGAAACCCATGTTCCTGTTGGACAAAGAAATATTTTTCTAATAGTAAAGACACGTGACCTACTTGAAGTGATTTAGATCTGAACAAAATCCTTAGAGTTGAAATATAGATGCTACTATTAAAAAATACAGACAATTAAACCTCTCTATTATCTATATATAATCTCTATTGTTATCAAACTGACTGTTATATAGTTCATAACTACTAAACAGAACAATAGGCAAATAAGTTGCTGAAATTGTTAACTTCATAAAAATAGTAAAAGAAAATAAAAGTAAAGAGAAAACCTCCAGGACTCAGGAGAAAACAACATGGAAATAAACGTACTAGTGATGTTGACGGCATTGCTGAACTCTCCTGATGCAGACTCACACCAGTAAACAGCTTTAGGCACCCAGTAATTTTTTAAGGTGCAAACAGATCCAGTCATTGTCTCCCAGAAGGAGCAATAAGTTGAACGTAAACCATAATCGTATATTATCTCCTCACTCTCCACTCAGCAGAGCTTCCTTCACAGATCAGCTGGACTTCATCAAAAGGTGAATGTATCTCTCTGTCAGGACTCACAGTGAGAGACGCTGCTGGATTAGAATCTAAAATATAAGAAAAAAAAAGGGAAATGATACAATTTCTTTTTTGGTTGTTTAATGGATTTATTTTTCCTTTCATCAGATCATTTCACAGATGTGAATGAAGGAGCATTGGTGTATCTTCAATCCTGAGAATCTAAGAACTCAAGCTATGAAATTAGTCACACATTTTCTTTCAAATAGCAATTAAATATATTTTCACTTTTTCTGGAACTTGCTAATATATTTCCAGCCTCCATGTTTTTTTTTCAAACTTTTTTATTTAAATTGTTTTGATGAATGAGAGCAAGATTTTCACAACTGTCTTTAATAATATTCTTTTGCTGATAAAAAATAATCAGAGATATTAAGATAACAGACTGAATTACATAAAATCCGTTAATTTAAACAGAATCTCACTGACCTGCAGACCAGACAAACTTTGGTTCACTGTAATCAGTTAAATTCTCTTGGTTTCCTCTTCCAGCTCTACATGCATATCCTGCTGTGTGTCTCTGTCCATGAATGATGAAGGAGTCCTCTACAGTCCCATTGATGCTGTCAGCCAGCAGCTCATATCTGTAGTCCTTCTGTGATCGATCAGGAACAGCTTTATACCAGTAGAACCTCCATCCTGTAGATGGAGGATCAACCTTACAGCTCAGATTAACTGAGGCTCCAGGACTCAGCCATGATGGAGACACAGTCAGGGAAACCCTTGGTTCTGTTTAGAGAACCAAAGAAATAGTTTATTTTTCCAATAGTAAAGACACGTAACCTAGTTTTTTTCTGTATTAACCCTCTTAGACAGAATATAATAAAACACTAAAATGTTTTGTTTCTATTTTAAAGATAATCATCTATTTTCCTCAAAGGCTGAAGAAAGAGCAGATCTGTTTTATGAATTTCTATCTTTCTGGGATCCAAACAGCCCTTACACTCAACAATCCCACTTCACTAAGGAAACCTATGACTGTTTTCTCCAGCTATTAATGAAATATAAATAAAACACAATAGAAAGGACCTTGAGAGAAATTAGCTAAAGCTTGTAGTAGAAATCATTTAGATGGTATCATGATGAAAGGATATCAGGTAAAAATAGTGAATTTAGATTTTAAATCATCAGTGATGAAGTTAAACCTTTGGTGATGACTTCCAAATGGACAATGACCTTAATCACTTAGCAGATAAAATAAATCTGATCATCTTTTCTGAAAGAAACAGGAAATGTTTAGAGTCACTTCATTTCAAGAAAATATATATCTGCATCTTTTCCTCCATTGATTTTACATAAATGTCTGATTTCATCTGGACAATAAAGATAATTATAATCTAACAACCTTCCACTCTTTTTTTTCTCTGGTCCATCTTTATAGTTTTGATGATCCAAAGGCAACAGAATAAATCAAAAATCAAAGTTTACATCTATTGATGATCATCAGAGTATTTCACTGTAGTCAGTGATTCTGAGGCTCAGACTCTCATCAAATCAATTCTACCACCATCATCTCAATAAATGGGATATAGGTAGAGGAAAGAGATGTCTGAGTTTCTCTGCTGAAAATGTTACTTGTGTGACATGATGATGCAGAAGCAGAAGACGAGAATCATGAATGAATCAAATGAAGAATTCAGACAAGCTTCTCAGCTCCAGTAATCAGTAAAGAGAGAAGAATGTTCTATTACCCGGATTGTTTCCACAGCAGAGGAGGAAACTGAGACCTGAAAAAAGAAGGAAGGACATTCTGTGAGATGTTAGCAAAAGGAAACAAAACCACAGTAAAGAAACACATCATAAATCTACTGCTGCATCTCTCCTTTACTTATGGAGTTAAAGCCCAAGTTTGAACTTTATCTTTTAAATGTATTTTACATTCAGTAAAGTGGGTCAAATGGAGCATCTACACTCACCAGCCACCTTATTAGGTACACCTGTCCAACTGTTAACACTTAATTTCTAAGCAGCCAATCACATGGCGGCAACTCAGTGCATTTAGGCATGTAGACATGGTCAAGACAATCTCCTGCAGTTCAAACCAAGCATCAGTATGGGGAAGAAAGGTGATTTGAGTGACTTTGAACCTGGCATGATTGTTGGTGCCAGAAGGGCTGGTCTGAGTATTTCAGAAACTGCTGATCTACTGGGATTTTCACGCACAACCATCTCTAGGGTTTACAGAGAATGGTCCGAAAAAGAAAAAAACATCCAGTGAGCGGCAGTTCTGTGGGCGGAAATGCCTTGTTGATGCCAGAGGTCAGAGGAGAATTGCCAGACTGGTTCGAGCTGATAGAAGGGCAACAGTGACTCAAATAACCACCCGTTACAACCAAGGTGGGCAGAAGAGCATCTCTGAACGCACAGTACGTCAAACTTTGAGGCAGATGGGCTACAGCAGCAGACCACACCGGGTGCCACTCCTTTCAGCTAAGAACAGGAAACTGAGGCTACAATTTGCACAAGCTCATCGAAATTGGACAATAGAAGATTGGAAAAACGTTGCCTGGTCTGATGAGTCTCGATTTCTGCTGCGACATTCGGATGGTAGGGTCAGAATTTGGCGTCTACAACATGAAAGCATAGATCCATCCTGCCTTGTATCAATGGTTCAGGCTGGTGGTGGTGGTGTCATGGTGTGGGGAATATTTTCTTGGCACTCTTTGGGCCCCTTGGTACCAATTGAGCATCGTTGCAACGCCACAGCCTACCTGAGTATTGTTGCTGACCATGTCCATCCCTTTATGACCACAATGTACCCAACTTTTGATGGCTACTTTCAGCAGGATAATGCGCCATGTCATAAAGCTGGAATCATCTCAGACTGGTTTCTTGAACATGACAATGAGTTCACTGTACTCAAATGGCCTCCACAGTCACCAGATCTCAATCCAATAGAGCATCTTTGGGATGTGGTGGAACGGGAGATTCACATCATGGATGTGCAGCAGACAAATCTGTGGCAACTGTGTGATGCCATCATGTCAATATGGACCAAACTCCCTGAGGAATGCTTCCAGCACCTTGTTGAATGTATTCCACGAAGAATTGAGGCAGTTCTGAAGGCAAAAGGGGGTCCAACCCGTTACTAGCATGGGGTACCTAATAAAGTGGCCGGTGAGTGTATGTAATCTGTCTGTGATCCCATCACTTTTGCCCAGGTTCCTGCAGAGAGAGGAGCCTGTTTTTCTTTGAATGTCCAATGAGTCTTGGCCAGTATCTGAAGCTCACAGCCACAAATCAAGGTTTTTCCGTTTTAAGTGCTTGAATTTGAATGAGCAAGTCAACCACTGTTGGGATCTGGAGGCTTTGTCCACTTTCTCCACCAGAGGGCGCACAAGATCTCCTGAGGGCATGAGCTGACTGCAACACCTGTCTTCCATCTGCTCATCAGGAAGTCCTATTTGAGGAGGAGGCTAACACTTCCCTGCCAGAGTGTTTGCCAGTAATGGTACCAGCAAAGCCTGAGCCAGCCTCTCAGATCTGTTTTCCCTGATTTTGTGAACCTGCCTGAACCTGTTTCTCTCTGCTTCACAGATCCAGTCCTGTCACAAAACCTGAAATCCTGGAGAATATCTGTCTGGAATCTGCCTGCCTGCACCCAGTTCAGCCTCTGCCTTTGCCCTGAGTCCTCTGCCTGCCTGCACTCAGTTTAGCCTCCGCCCTCAGCCCTTTGTCTGCCGACTAGCCTCTAGACCCTCAAGGTTCCCCCCCTGCTGATCAGTTCCACCTCGGAGCAGATATTTTCTCCTACATCTGTAAACTGCAGTTTCCCTGGGACTCCTCTAACTTCTCTGTCCTCCTCAGTGGTGATCCTGCCGTGACCAGTCTGACCAGCCTAGTTCCAGTTCACATTTTTGTAAATATTTGTAAATAACCTTTAAACTTTTCCCTGCCTCTGAGAGTGTTTCTGCATGTGGGTTAGACACCTAAACCCCAACATGACAACCACACTTTATTACATTTTAGATGTTGATGTCCTTTCTGTGTTTAGGCCCTTGTTGACCTCTATATGACCTATTTTCCTCATGAACTTCATATTGCGTATGTACAGAATGTCTGACCTTCACAAATCAAGATTGAAATCCCTAGAAAATCATTAAATTATCTCAGCTGCAGTTTCAGTGACTGAAGTTCTGGCAGCAAAGTTTACTATGAAGAGGCTCTGAGTCTGATCTAAGGTGAGGAAGCAGAGAGCAGTTTGGAACAGCAGGTGTCAGAGTCGTACAGCATGGAGGAAAACTCAGATTACAGCCCTTCTGTTGATGATGTCAAAAAAATTATGTCCTCAGTTGTTCCTCATTTCCTGATTATGAAATAGAACCAATATAACAGTGGATTCAGACAACAAGAGCCACAAGACTGGCTGCTTTCTATGCATATATATCAACATTTCACATCTTCCTACCTCCATACATTGAAATATATCATTCAAATGTGGGATCAGTAGGTTCTGAAGCTGTTCAATGTTGGAATTGTAGTGAGAAACTCAATATATTAATTCTTCCTGTTGTATAATTTTTATATGATCAACTACATCAATTAGGATTACACATTCTCTATCAAGTGGTTCATGGTTTTTTGTTTAGAATTTAAACTGCAGGTTTCCCCCACTTGAAAAGGCAGCTTGCTTCCATTCCAGAGATTGTACAGGATTTAACTCTGAACACCAAAGTTGATTCTTTCCTTTTTTGTCTTTTATTTGAAAGTTCAATCAACAATAGTAGCATTGATAGTAGTAGTAGCAGTAGGTGAAAAACCTTTAAACATGAAAACAGAAACAATGATTAACATCCTTTAAATAACAAAATTATTCCTGAAACAAAAAATAAGACTTAAACTCAAAATCAAACATATTCAAAGCATTATTCAGTGATAACTTTTTACATTCTAGTATTAATTTACTTTCTCTAATACATTTTTGAATAATTCCTCTTTTTTAAATAATATTTTAACATTTCATTCTCAATATTCACACAATTTGTGGCTCAGTGGCTCCTTCTCTTTGGAACAAACTTTCCTGCAGTGAATTCACCCAGGCACCATCATAGTGCTCATTGCTGCCCACTGAGTGAACCCCTCTGTTCGAAATCCTGGGACGCGTCTTTAGAAGGCAAGATTCGAAGGACGATTATGTCATAGCTCGACGCCAAGGTCTGGTCCGATTCCAAGACTCCTCGTTATGCGGCCTTAAAATGCATCCTTCTTTTTTCCCGATTTGAAGGACGGGTCAGATGTATCCTTGGTATCCTTGGTTAACCCAGGATTCATCGCGAGACCAAGCAAGCCGTGATTTCCTCCTTGATCAGAGGAAAGGTTACTTGGCGCTGAACAGCGGTGAAAAATGGAAGTTCAGTTTAATATAATACATGTCTGTGAATAGTTGCGTCTGAAATTAATGAAAATAGTTGTTTTAATGGCTATTGAGTCAGATAAGCGGCGGTACTGTTTGATTTATCGAAAGGTTTTTAACTGTTAATGTGTAAATGGGTTTGGCTGTAATTTAAGGACAGATTCTAATATATCTGATAGGATTTTAATTTTTTATTGCTGTTTTGCACAATATGCTTAACTAAGTATTTTTTGTTGTTGAATATTAGAGATTTTTCAGATATATTTTTTATACATACATTGTTTAGATTTACTTATATATTTCGACCCATTTTATTGTTGGGATCTGGAGCTGTACCACCTTTCTCCAGCAGAGTGCGCCGTGGATCCTCTGAGCTGAGCCCTCAACACACCTGTGGCGCATCTCGTCATCAGAGGATCCTCCAGCATATAACCTGCCTTCAGACCTTGCCTCAACGCCGTGTTGATCCAGTTTGGTTAGCACCTGAGCCTAGCATCTCCAGTGAATCATTGTTATCTCAGATTAGATTGGATTCTAATACCTCCTTGTCTCTGCTTTCAGGAATCCTGTTTCCCTTGTAAGCTCTGGATGAGCTTAACCTGCCGAGCCTGCCCTCTGAGCCAAACCTGAAGACTCTACTCTGGATTCCCATGCAGCTCTTGGCTAAGAGCTGGAAACCAAAACCCAAGGTCTGCCCTCAAGTCAGAAGTAAGACGCTGAAGCGGTTATTGGACTCTGCTGAACTAAACAGTCTCTGGACCCAACAGTTCCTCTCTCAAAGCAAAACCCGGATTAATCAAGGTATCCATCTGAAACTCTCAAACTCAAGATCTTCAGTCCTTAAGCTAACTGAACTGTTATCCTCACAGACTCCAGTGAACCAGCCCCCAGGCCAGAACCCGTTCCTGTGTTTATTCCATGTGCTTGCAAACCAATAAACATTGTTAAACTTTTAATCTGTCTCCGTGGTGTTCTGCATACTGGGCTTTTCTGAAAACCCATCATGACATTTATAGAATAGATTATTGAAAATGGTCACAAAAACCTTAGAAATTATGGCAGCAATTCACACAGCTAAAAGTAGAACTTTTCTCAGCAACTGTCTTAGCTCTACAAAATTATCAAAAACAGTTCATCCAAACAAGTTATATGACCTCTGTGTTTGTAACCTCATGGTAATAGGCTCATACTTGTAGTGTCCTAAACAGTAGCTCCCCTATATTCTAATTTATTATCTTTATTATATTGTGTAGTTCGATGTGTGTGTGTATATATATATACATATATATATATATATATATATATTAGGGCTGCAACTAACAATTATTTTAAAAATCGATGAATCGGCCGATTATTTTTTCGATTAATCGATGAATCGGACAAAAATTTTTTTTTATATTAACCTCTTTATTCCAAAATAAACAAGTACAGGTTGCTCATTAACTGTACTGGTGCAATATGAAAAATAAATGTTTGTGTAAAAACTACGCAAACTTACATGAGAAATGTAGCTGTACATCCACAAAATATAGGCTACTTTGTTTCATAAAGCGCAAAAAGAGACAGGCATTTTTGTTTTTTAAAGCCCCTAAGGGGTTCAAACAATAGGTCCCCCCATTTCAACAAATGAGTTTTTTTAGACTAGAAGAGTTCTGCCTTTTAAGACAGGAAAGTATAGCAGTTAAAGTTGCTGCTTGAGAAAATACTGAACCATAGAGATAAAAATAGCCCTGTGATTCAAATTATAAATTGTATTTGGAATAAAAATGAGAGAACTAGGGGTGGTAAAAAAAAACACATCCTCCAAAGACAGATATTTACATGGGAATGTGGCAGAAAATTAATTGACATATTACTGATCTTGCTGGATTTTGTTCTGCTTTACTTCCATAAATTGCAGGATCTTCTTTTCTTTATCTTTGCCAGAAGATTTAAACTTTAAAAGCCTTGCCCTCATAATTTGCAAGTTAATTTATTTATAAAGAAAATATAAACGCTGCTTAAACAAATTTAAATGAAATTAAAAGTAAAATAAGTAGCCAACCTTATCACTGTCTGTAACCTACTAACAAGGTAAGGAAAGCATCAGATGAGCTACCTGAGAAACTAACGTTACGTTTCCCCTCTTTAAAATAAAACAAACATGGTTACTCATCCTGCTGATCAGCTCTCTTCACTGCCATTGAAGGCTCCAACGTGTTTTCTTTTCAGGTGCTGCGTCATAACAGTGGTGCTTCCGTGCCATGTTCATTTGTTTTTACAAAAGTTGCATGTTACGACTTTTTTCACTTTACAAAGCGCCGGCTATTTTAATTATTGTGATCAATTTGCGCCGTCAATCCCGGCGCATGCGCGCTTCATTTGCAGTCTGGACGCTGAGGGTAAACTCCTCACTAAAATCCTGCGGCTCTGACTGCCGCGCTGAGAGGGATTCCTGTGGGAGAGGGAGAAAGGCGTTGGGATGTGGGAGGCGCCCCACGGCAGGCAAAAGCCGCCAGTGACACCGTAAAAAGTCGCCAGATTAGTCGCTAGTTGCTTTTTTGAAAAATAGTCGCTGGAGGGGTCTGAAAAGTCGCTGAGTTGGCAACACTGCAACTGCGGAGCTGACTCGCTCCGCCATATTTTTTTTTCTTCCCCCGGTTGACGGGGGCGGCGGATGACGCATTAATCGCGCGACACAACTAATCGATGATTAAATTCGTTGCCAACGCTTTTAAAAGTCGATTTTTATCGATTTTATCGATTCGTTCAGTTTTAAAGCGTTATTAACACGTTAACTGCTTTAGAGTATAACGCCGACATTTTTTTAACGCACGTTAATCGCGCATTAAAACAAACGCACCATGCGCTTTTGTTCTTTATTTTTCCGCAGCACTCGCTGTACTGTTTGTTTTACCCTCAGCGCTTTCCGTAGCTTCAGGAACGCTAAGTTTTGGGAGAGACCGCAGCATAACAGACCCGTGCTTGGAATGAGCAAAAATGGCCAGCAGACAAGGTATCCTGAATGATAAGTTTCATTTTAAAGTTATCCCAGAAGGCTGTCTTGACAAAACCTGAGTCCTATGTCTATGTTGTCCAGAAGAAACGAGCGTCTCACTGGCTTAGTGCCAACAAGACAAAGAAATAAATTAAGTCATGTGGAATGCACTGCTGCTGCAATTCCAGTTCAGACCAAAGGAGTATTAAAGCATTTTGAAAATGTTCTACATGTAAAATGTTATGTTGTTGAGATGACTGCAAAGCCCAGTTATTGTAAATTCGTTTGATTTATTTATTATTTTGTGAGTAACTTCATTTTATTTGAATTAAGTCTGAATTTCATAACGGAATGTGCACTTTATTTTAACAGTACATCTTTATTTTTGTCCTATGTTTGAGAAAAAACTTAATTTTATGGAGTTCTTTGAAGTACTGTTTACTATTCTGTAGGTTAGTAATTTTTTTTTACAATTTTTGTATAATTATTGGCCGGAATTTAAACCAGGATATTTTTATTCTAGTTTTTTAAAAGTGCTTTAAAAAAATAATAATTAAAAAAACTTATTGTATAAGCAAGTTTTTTTTACATTATTGCACATTTGCATTTTTTAAAATGCCCAAATAAAATAAAAAGATAAAATATGCGGTTAATTTGCGATTAATCTTGATTTAACTGTTGATATTATGCGATTAATCGCGATTAAAATTTTTAATAGTTTGACAGCACTAATATATATATATATAACTTCAACTTGAACATGTAACAAAAGTAATTTCCCTCTGGGATTATTAAAGTATTTCTGATTCTGATTGAAAGCAGCAGCTATTTTGAGCCATGAGTTTATCATGTCTCCAGAGGAGGGATATTGATGAGTATAGTACAATAAATATTTAATCCAACTGCAGGATTAAATAACTACTTTAAAATCCTTTTGTTTCCCCAAAGGAAGGCCTGAAGCCTGGAGACCGAGTGCTGATTAAAATCATCAAGGGGAAAACAAGGGGCAGCTCCTAGGTGTGAAGGACCCTACATTTTGCAAGTAGCAACCCCCACCCCTGTGAAGAGATCCAGGAAAGAGAGACTTGAATCCACCAGAGTCATTGTAAGCTGATTAAAGACTTTCCCCAACAGGAAGCCCAGTTACCTTCACAGGAACCCCACGACTAAGGTAGGGATCTGTGGTGAAGCCCAGCTACAAAGGGGTTAAGCAATTTAGAGCTTTTCATCTCAGCGCTGGTGAAGAAACCAACCTAACCCAATCCTGTAGAGTCCTGGTTAGTGGGTGCCTCCTTGGAGGGACTGGTGAAGATGGGAAAACTAAAGTGGCTCTGCTGCCTGATGGTGACCATTGGACTGGTGCTCTTATGGACACAAATTGACCGGCAGAAACAAAGGAAAACCAGAATGGTTTTTGATGGATACACACCAAGTCATCCCTACAGTGCCAAGATGTGGTGGCAGCATTCCAAGCGTGTTGCTGAAGGTTTGAACAAAACAGACTGTTCACACCTCCGGTGCAAGTCCAGCACCATGGACAAGTTGGTTCACCATGGGATCATGGTGGCAGGTGCTGATGAAGATAGCTTTACCATTTGTAGGATTGTTACTATATTTTTCCTTTGTATTTGTTGCTTAATACCAGGCCTCCAGTCAATGATTCAGAGAATGATAGGATCCACTTTAATCCAGTATTCCGCTGTAACTTATTTTCAAAACCGCCAAGATGCTGATAAAGATAACGATGATTTGCAATTGTGTAATATGTTATACGGATAATGATCGCTTCCTCGGGAAGGATCGGGTAGGAATTTTCCCTCTATTGGAGAGGTTTTGCCTACTCAAGGGACAGATTTTTTGAAGCTTTTTACATTCTTGACAAATCTTACATTTTTGCTTAAGTTTTACATTTTAATCCTTTTCATATTTTTGGGTTTTACATATTGATCTTTCATTTGAATTCCATATCTGCGATGCATTTATGATGTATGTAGTAAAATTATTTTCAGAAGTGCTACATGCTAATGTTTATATGTACAACAGGAGGGAAATGTCAGGTTTATTCAATGATGATTATAAAGTTAATGTATTAGCATATGGAACATTGAAGAAATTAGATGCTTATTTCTGTTTACTGCAAACTGTCATGCAACAGTGGTAGAAAACTGCTGATATTTGTGCAAGGCTAATCACATTTATCAGGAGACCACTCTATTCTGTGATTCAATCAGAGGAGCATTTTGTCCTATAACCTGATCAATTGCCTTGTCAGAAGAACACTGTTCTGTAACCCACCCCATGTGTTATGATCTGCTAATAAAAAGGCTTCTGCTGAGGAAACCCACCAGAGAGCAGATGTGGCTGAACGTGGCTCTCTCCCTCTGCAGAGGCCAAAAATCAATATTATGTGCGGACTCAGTTTCTTTTTAATAAACCTACAATTTTGAACGTAACAGTAGACCTGTTCAAATTCACAGCCAAAACACTTCTGGTATCGTTATTTTAACAGACTTCGAAGGATCCAGACTAGGTAGACCACGTCCTTGGATGATGCAGCCCAGGATTTCGAACAGAGCCAATATCTCACAACTGAGCCCTTAATTATCTTCACCTGGAGTCTGCTATCTCCAGGTTGGGAGACACTCTCCCCTATACTCAGTCAGAGGAGGGCGGGGCATGAATTCAGCTCAAAATTCTCAGTAAATGAAAAGGTCCAAAAATCTTATCATAAAGGCATTCCTGACATGTCCAAGGTTTCCATGACCAAAGCGAAGTTATCAAATTTGAACAGTGTTTCAAAGCAGCAGTTTTCTGTACTTGAGACTTTGAAGATGATCTATTATCTCCACAATCCGAAGGAAAAATTGATGTACTTACACAATAAGCCCAGCACACAGAGGAAAGTGCGACCCATCTTTAAATCCTGCAATAAAATGGTTCAGCTGCTGTGTGGCTCCACAGATATGGTTCTACTTGATCACATGACAACGGCTGAAACTGCAGAATATGAACAGAAAATGTGGAAAAAAAAGAGTATCTATGATTCTTGTTTATCAGCTGATCTGCCTGTGGTGTTTTCAAATATCATAGCATTAAAAAAAAAAGTTCCTCTGCATGAAGTGTGCATGTTATCGGTCCTCAGAGCCTTTTCACAATTTTTCGCGATTCCTTTCTTTGGAACCTGCATCTATTCTGTAAAATAAGTGTTGCAGACCTTTTAAACTGTTTTAACTCCACTTACTCTGATATTTTAGACTTGCTTCACTGCAAAACAACATCTTAGCTCTAGTTGAATAGAATCACTTCCTCCCTCAGACATCAGTGAAAAATGGCTGAAAGTGGAAAAAGGACAAACCTTATGCCTCTTTGTTGCTTTTGTTGGGATACATATTGCCACAATGGAGCCCAAATCAATTGGATGAACCATTATAGACCATCCCCCTTTCCTTTTACACAAAGAGAACAAAAGATGCTCTGAAAAGTTCTGGAACTTCCGTTCAAAGGGACTGTCAGCTAATGCATGGACCAATCAGCTCAAGAGGGAGCTGATTCTTCAACAGGAAATGCCCTTACATCACTCATGGTTTAAAACTTAGAGCGTGAGCTAAATCCTTCTCTTTCCCTGGGTTCACCTCCTGCGAGGAGAGGCCTGTTTCATGTGAAATGCTAAAAGAAAGCTAACTGGAAGTAGCTTTCATTTTTCCTGTGTCAAAAGTCACGGATCGCAGTGTCCCATCGTGCATAGCAGCCGCGGGGATCTCCGGAGCCGAACGCTGAGTGGAGTCCCCCCCCCCCTGTGAGGATCATGCTACGGACATCATGGCCTATCGGCAGGGGGACGCCTCTGCTTTGATAGTCTCAATAAGTAAATCTTTCTCGACCTAAAAGCACATCAAGACATCTGCTGTAGCATCAAACTGATTGAAACTTTCCCGAGAACGGATCCTTTGGTGGAGAAGACCCGCGTGTGGCTGGAGCCAGACCACGCTTCCGCTTGTACTGTTGTTATCATCATAGCTGCTTCTATTCTATCAGACATTAGTGAATGTATTAACATCTGGCCTATCTTGGAAAATCTCAGAAGCCAGTCATTTAATCTACCTTGTGTTTATTTTTTAATAGCGTGTAGTGTTTGCATAGATATTAGATTTCTGTAATCCTGAAATATTAGAATAAAGACGTCATTGTTTAACTTGTAGTGGTCTTGTAATCCATATAGCGGATGATTTATCACTCAGGCCAGATCCACCCCCTTTTGGTAATAGTGTGAATAAACAGAGATAAGTAGTTTTTTGATTGATAATAATAGCTCTGCTGATAACCTAGCCTGGGTGACTAGATTGGTGTGGATACCTGGATTTTAACAGCCGGTCCAGGAACCATCCAGAGGTGAAAGCCATAAACCCTGGTAAGTAAGCAAATTAAAGCTACAATTATTCAAATAACAACACTAAATTGATTTCGCCTCCGATTTTGAATAAGTTAAATAATTAACTATAAGTCCTGTTCTAGTTAATAATTTATTGATTATCTGCAGGATATCGTTTTGCACAACACTTTAAAACAGCTGAAACAGCTTTTCTGTCCAACATTGTTCTAAGCAGCATCCACAGACCTCAGGTTGTGTTCAATGTTATTGATAAAGTTGTCAATCCATGTGCTGCTAATTGTTCTGCAGTGTTCTTGGCTCTCTGAATATTTTACAATTCATTTTTTGTTGTGAATTTATTTGTTGAGGACTTATTATTTCATAACATTTGAATAATAAGTTACTGAGTTAAAAATATAAGTTAACATTAATGTTGATAACACAGTTCGTGTTTTAACTGTGGTTAAATTCGGGACTGCATTTATTTGTAGTTGTATTGAAGTGGACTCTATTACCCAGGATGCTCTAGGAGCAGGAAAAAAAAAGTGTGTTGTTGAGCTGAGCCGATGGGCGCACGTTGTATGTTACTTTTTTCCTTCACCGTTCTTCACTAAAGTTAAACCAAATGAAACTGACCGTCTCGCTTCGTCATTTTTAATTGTAAGTCACAACATTTTTCAATCTTTCTGCTCTCATGTCTCATCAGGATAAAGATCCTCATCATCTTCCTCATGCTAGGCTTTTCTTTAACAGTTGGAGCCTGTGACCTCTGCTTTAAATGATTTTTCCATTTTCTGAGTCCTCTTCGAGGCTAGAATCATATCAGCAGCTTTAACCATTATTTGAAACAGGTTTTAAAAAGGGGGGGGGGGGGGTACAGCTCATTGGCTAATTTGTATGACGTATATCCTGCTCACGGACGCTCCGGAAGGCTTTACCATATTAAGAGGAGATGCGGCACAAGTGAAATTAGACACCGTGGTCGGATAACATGCAGGAATTTATAAATATTTTCAATTGGGTCGGGTCTGGATTAGTCAGCAGGTGGGTTCTGATCCGAACCTCAGTCCGCTAATCCGTGACCTCTGTTTTACAACAAGCTAAGCTTTAGATTCTCTGCAAAGAAGACAGAAATGTGCGTCTGAAGCTCCTAGAGCCAAACCACAACCCACATGCCGCTTCGGGTTGAATATTAAGCATATTTTTTTTCTTTTCACATCAAAAAGCAGTAAAATACTGTAAAAGCTTGGTTCTAAGCTGAAGAGATGTTTAAAAGATAAAACGTTTTTCAAAGGCTTTGTAAAGATAGAAATCTGGAGTTAAAATTTTAATCTGAATGACAGGTATGTATCAGAAGTAGAATGGTGAGATATTAACTTACTTTTTTTATCACCTGCAAGTAAGTATTAGTTTTTTGCTTGTCACCCTTCTTAAAGCACCCAGCTGTTCGATCCTTAGATCCTAGTTTTAGGAGGAGAGATCAGGTTCTAATCACAAAGATATTTTGTCGTTTTAGCCTTTTGAGAGCATAAATGATTCTTTTTAAACCCAGAGTGGAGAAATCTGATAAGGCCAGTTTCATGGTTCAGTGTGATCATGCAACCTGAGGCTTTCTTTAATGATGACGCCGTCGCTCCAGCTTCCTCTCTATGTGCTCTTAGCCATCATGCTGCTGTTTACCTCTCATAAGCTGCCTGCGGTTTGGGTGTGGTTCGTGTTTTAACTGTGGTTAAATTTGGGACTGCATTTATTTGTAGTTGTATTGAAGTGGACTCTATTACCCAGGATGCTCTAGGAGCAGGAAAAAAAAAGTGTGTTGTTGAGCCGAGCCGACGGGCGCACGTTGTATGTTACTTTTTTCCTTCACCGTTCTTCACTAAAGTTAAACCAAATGAAACTGACCGTCTCGCTTCGTCATTTTTAGTTGTAAGTCACAAAATTTTTTGGTGCCGAAAACCCGGAAATATTAAGGAGATAATGGCTGACGAAGCTAGAAGCACCGAAGAGCAACCGAACGCTGAGGAACTACTTGTTGAAAGAGCGAAACGGAAGCGGCGGACAATACGGAGTTCCACAACGAAGGTGCTGAACCAGATTGATGGTGAAGTATCAAAAGAAGACCCGGACATTAACCGTGTGCGAGAGATGTTAGCCGTGTTGTTGGCGAAAGAGGACAGTTTGCGCGAGCTGGACCACATAGCGGAGGAATACACGCCGCTGGACGCCATGGATGCGGAGATTGAACTCGCAGAGGAATACAGAGACCGTATCATCGAGATGAAGGCGCGGGCTCACTAAGTAATCCGTGCACACGAGACTGTGAGTAAAGAGGACCCCCGACCTGCTCGGCTAAGTGACGTTAGCGCAAACACCGCTGGCTCTCAGCGCAGTAACCCGACCGTAAGACTGCAGAAGCTTATGATTGAGAAATAGAGACGTAAGTTTATGGCAGGAGTTTTGGAGTCAGTATGAGACTGCTATTCACAACAATGAGGCTCTCTGCAGTAAAGAAAAGTTTACCTACTGTACCTGAAAACTTACCTCACTGGAACGGCTGCAAAGGCAGTAGCAGGGCTCACACTGACAGACAGTAACTATAATGCTGCAGTTGATATACTTCAAAGCAGATTGGGAAGGAAGGATGTTATTGTAAATGCCCACATGTCAAAGCTTTTGAATCTCACTCCTGTAAAGAAGTCATCCGATGTCAGTGTGCTGAGGCAGTTATATGATGACTGTGAAATTCAAATCAGAAGCCTAGAGTCACTGGGAGTAGTATCAGACATGTATGGAGGCATGTTATGTCCAATAATCCTCCAAATGCTGCCATAGGACATGGCTCTTGAATACAGCCGACAGAGAGGAGAACAGGATGAGTGGAAGGTGCCAGATGTGCTAAAGTTTCTGCAGAGAGAGGTAAACAGCCGAGAGAGAGCTTTACAAATGACCAGATCATATAACCAGAGAGAGAACCTGTCTGCTCACAAAACATGCAGCAAATCATATTCAACCTGTGATGTGAAACTAAAGAAACCAAGCATGACATCTGCAGCTACTGTACACTACATGCTGCCAATGAGAGCCCCAAAAAACTGCCTGTTTGTGAGGGCTAAACACAAATTAAGCTCCCCAACCACCAGGGGGCACACGTAAAGAAAGGGGCTGAAAAAACTTGGCGGGTGTTTTATCTGTTTGGGACCCAAAACACATTGCAAGGTTTGAAAGGTTAAAGGGCATGTCATGTCCCCACTGTGGAGGCAGACTCATTTGGCCTTGTGAGAAAAAATGATGCTTCCCCGCCTGCTTTTTTTCCAACATGGAACTGTAATTTCTTCGTAATTCCTCAAACAAAAAGGGGCAAAACTAAAACTGAAAACATGTGTGACAAAACCGCCAAAGGCATGGTTGGTGGGCCCAAAAGCAGGAAGATTGTTCGCTGCTTGCTGGATGGAGGCAGCCAGGAAGCTTTATGCATGAAAATGGGGTGAGGGACTGCAGCTCCCTTTTCCAAAAGGGACGTTTACCCCAAAATTTGGTCCTCTGCTCCAAAAGGGTAAGCGCAACATAGGAAGTCAGTTTGGGAAAATTTTGGGATGGCAGCAAAGA